GTGCACTGCTTTAAAGCCCTTTGACCTTTAATAATGTGTGGATGCACCCTGATGTGCTACGCATTCTCCAACGCGCCTATGCATGCTTCTGATCAGGTGGTCAATGTCCTCCTGTGGTATCTCATTCCAGGCAACCACCAACTCCTCTCGAAGTGCTTCTAGAGTCTGAGGAGGACGTTGCAAATTGAGCAATCTCCTACCCATCATATCCCACACGTGCTCAATTGGGGATAAGTCGGGAGATCTTGGTGGCTATGGTAACAATGTGACATCATTATGTTGAAAGAAGTCTATTGTGACTCTTGCAACATGTGGTCGGGCATTATCTTGTTGGAAAGTTGGATCTGCCAGGGTGTCAAGATAGAGTAAAATAAGGGGTTCTAGAACATCGTGGATATAACGCTGCGCGTTCATGTTACCTCTGATGAAGATTAAAGGTGACCTGGAACCATAAGCTATAGCACCCCAAACCATAACTCCAACAGTGTGATGAACATGTCTTTCAACAAGAAACTGTGGATTCCTCCTTTCAGCACGTCGCCTTCTAACCCTGGCACGACCATCGTGCATGCCTAAACAAAATCGACACTCGTCACTAAAGACAATACTATTCCATTCCTGATCCCAGAGTGACCGTTGTCTGCACCACTCAAGGCGATTACGTCGGTATTCTCGAGTTAAAGGGAGGACCCAGTGTGGCCGGTATGAAAACAAGCCAAAACTTCTCATTCGTCGGTAGACACTTCGCATGCCAACAGGTCTTCCGTGTTCTGCAAACCATTCATTTGCAATGGACCTGGTAGTGGAGAAACGGTCCCTTAAGGCCAATAATCTTAGGCGGCGATCTTCACGGTCTATTATTCTACGGCGGCGTCCAGTGCCCCTTGCTCTTTGCGTACGGCCTTCTCGAAGCCATGCCTGACAACACCTAACCACAGTGTCTACACTTCTTTGCACTCTAACTGCAATTGCCCGAAAAGAAAGTCCAGCTTCCCGAAGTCCCACTATACGGCCCCTATCAAACTCACTAAGTTGACGAAATCGTACAGGTCTCCGTACTCTAGGCATCGTAACCGATCGTAAAGGATGTCAAGAACCAAAATCCGCCAACGTTGATTCTTTACTGCGGCTGAAATATTCATTTTTAGAGCGTTAGTGAATTAAAAAAAAGCAGTATAAAAAGCGGAATGTCCAACTGATAAGGCTGAAAATTTTTTGACTTGTTATTTACAGTAAGATAAATACATTCACCAACTTTTATTAAAATAAAACCATTTAAACTGGGTGTTCGGATTTATATGTCACTTAGTATATAAAGACTGTTTCTCTGCAGAGAAATAGCGTTTAGTTTTTTAGATAGAAAACATGCGGGAACTAAGTAAATTCAAGAAATCAAATTTGCTCATAAATGAATACAGATTTCATCTTTTCTTCATCTTCTATGTTGAAAAGGTTGCCATCGTTTATCTCAAATGTTGCAACGTTTTAGGACACAAGAAGTTTTCTTATTAAAATTAACCCTACATCCGCCGCCCTGAATAGTGACATTTAATTAGGAAACACCTGTATAACTTCATCCATCAGGAAGGAGCAGTTCAGATTCTATGTTTATCGAAGCTTTGTGCTTTCTAACCCTCTGCCGCTAGAGGCTTTTTTACTTTGAGATCGTTTTATTTTATATCATACGCTTACTGAATTAGCACTAGTGAATATAATATGACCCTTTAAAGGCTTGAAAAGACTAAGTCGTGGTAACAACTTCAGAATATCATCAGGTCGCCAGTAATTAGACTATAAAGTAGTGGTAATCCCAAACGACCTCTTGGTCTTCCTGGATGTAATGGCAGCAAAGTGTTGGAATGGAAAGCTCTATAAATATTTCCACTGTTATTTAAAGCATTCTATAGGATCGATAGTTATCAGGTTTTTGTATGCATATACGTGCTGCTATACGTTCCGAACAACCTTCGTTAAGTTCGATTAAGGCCAGACGTACGTATAAAAACAGATGGTGAGGAGAATGAGTTTGTCGCGAGTCAGTGGGTCATAAAATATTACACAGTTGTAATGAGGTGAGCGCTTCAAGCGACTGGTTGAGCACTGTTTCTGGTATTATATGTGTGGCACTGCCCTAAACTCTCGAACTGGTACATGTTTTTCCAAACGTCTAAAAGACACTTAAAGATGTAAACACAAGGTACAGTTGAAAATTTCTTAGATTTGTATGTGGTTCTATACGTATTTGAAGGCGGAATATTGAAAATTTCCTACAAATACTCCGACTTTGTCAACAATGTTGCCCCATGCCATGATATTATGGCTTATGTGTGAGTATGCTAATGCATAATATCGTCATTAGTCCTTTCTCGTCTAAGGTGTCTTTTAATTATAATAAGGTGTAGAATGCCTTATTAAGTTTTTGACACACAATTTCAATATTGTCAGAAAAAGATAATTTTGAGTCAAAGCAAGTACCCAAGATCTTTGCGCAGTTCGAATCCTTAGTACCAGGAAGTATAGTAAAGTCGTTGGTTAGATGTTTTTGAATGGCGTAGTTCATGATAATCGTTTTGCCTTCATTTAGTATCAGCCACTAAATTCATCAACAACATGGGCTCATTATGTTGGAGCGCTTGACGATTCTTTCCGTGAACTATTATAGTCGTATCATCAGCGATCATAGTTCCCCTCCCGCGTAAAGCGTAAAGTTATGTAAAGCAGCAGATCATTTACGTATAAAGGAAAGATTAGCGGTCCTAGAACAGAACCCTGTGGCACCCCTAGACCAAGATTCGTGATATTCGATCCAACTGTTCCGATTTTAACTTGGAATTTACGTGCACTCATGTAGTATATAATCCATTTCAGGGGTGTTCCACGAATACCTAGTGTCTCTAACTTCTGTTGCAGGTGGTCTTTCTGTCAAATGCTTTTGGTAGATCAAAGTGTAGTGATGCTACATATTCACCTTTATCTAGATGTGGATAAATGTAGTCCAAATAGTGGCAAGCTGTCGTTTTTGTAGATTTCAAATGATAGATAATACTCACCTACGGAAACATTTATTTTCATTGGGTGTGTGCTGCTCCTTGCAAATTATGAAAGAAGTACCATGTCTTGAATCGTCTAAGACCACAATTATCTGCTCGCACTTTTAAAAATTAACACTAAAAACATGAATTTAATGACAGAAATGTCAAAAAGTTAACTTATGTCTAGTGCACTTGTAGTATGCAGTTTGGCTGTCACTTCAGTCTATGAGAATTACTAGACAAACAAATCCTTGACTGGCTCCTTCTACCTAGTTTCAGTTCGTTGGGTAATACCAAGATCAATGGAACTGACAGTCACTGTCGCATCTGTATATATGACATTGAAAAAATGAATTAAAGGGTGTTGCAAGTTAAACACGTAGAATTACAGAGACCTATTAAACATACCGTTGCCGGTTGCTTTAAAGAAGAAACTTTGGGGAAGTTGACAAGCGGTGTATTGTTTCAACAGAACAATGTTCTTATCGCTGCCCTACACCCAAACAGGCTTTGAATTGGTAGATTAGCCACTGCATTCGTCAGTCCTGTACCGAAGTAGTTTTGTAATCATTTCAAAATAAAGACAACATTTACGAGAGAAGGAATGCTCAAGTAAACAACAGGTAATACCTACGGTAGGCAAGTTTTTTAACAGTCCGACAAAGGTTATATTGGAAGGCTAAACGAAGCTTTAGTTCGAGGGGCTAGGGATGGAGTATAGGGATCAACCCTTGTAGTGATGTTGTAAATTAATCTACTAATTCCTTTGTTATTGTCAATAATAACAATAATAATAATAATAATATTAATAATAATAATAATAATAATGATAGAGTACTAGAGTAATCTATAATTTGGAAGCACCCTAGGCGCACGGTGTGCGCTCGGTGTTTTCACCAAATGCACCACAGTATAGCATGGCTGTGTGAAAACAGGAATAATAATAATAATGTGCCTTTACTCAACTTTACATATACAAAGTAAAACGAAAGAATAATATCTTGAAGACCGCAAAAGTGCAAAGTTGAAAAGGTGGAGTATTTACCCTAGAGGTATTTTTCAACTCAACCTTAAAAACAATTGTATCTACCTGTATATCATGAACATATTTAAGGGAAAACCCAATAATAAAAATAAACTAATTATATTATATAATAACTATTCTGTAAGATGTCCCTAGTACCTAAGAGAAAGGAACTAACAATAAAAAAATGTATGTAGTGAGTTTCAGCTCATCCATTTAACTACGATAACTTTCACAATGAAACATAGAATTAAAAGTAATTTGTTGCTAATGCAGCTATCAACATCCTATCAACAAATCATAATATATTTTGAAAAGCAACGAAAAAGTATTTTGTACCAACAATGAGTAGAACAAGAATGAAAGATAGATAAGCAGAAAAGTAGTGGGCGCAAACAGAGTCGGCATATAGGATCCTTCACACTTCAGACAGATACAAATTCTTTAGCTTTATCTTAAAGTTCAATAAAGAAAGGTCATAATAAATAAATCATTTGGAAGACTATTGTATAGTTTTGCTGCGTTATATGAAAAGCTGCGTTTAAAGGTTGATATTGAGTGAGATGGTATAACGATCATTCGCCTATTTCTAGTATGTAATGAATTGATATTTTCAAACTTTAAAATTTAATCTAATCCGGCTTTTTGTTAAGGAGAACTTTGTGAATTAGTGATAGGAAATGCAATTTTCTCAATCTATCTAAACTTAGAATATTGTATTGTTTGACTATATGGCTTATATGATCAAACTTTCTTTTACCAAAAGAGAATCGCAGGCACGAGTTTTGTGCTCGCAGTAATTTTAAACAATCATTTTTTAAAAGAGCTGAACCATATATGCTGTCACAGTAAGTTAGGCGAGAAATTATCAGGACATCACATAACTTCATTTTCAAGCTACTATTACGAGATTTCATTTCAGTGGTTTGCTTTAATTGTTTCAGGTGGAATGCAAGAAAGCCCAACCGAAGGAAGTGATGCTCCCAGCGAACCTAGCAAAGTCTCGAGCTGCCGGTCGCGGCGCCTACGGTGAGTTGCTGATGCTGCAGGCGGCCGCCGCGGCAGCAGCGGCCGGGGGTGGCGGCACTGCCTCTACCGCTCCTATCGCACCTTCGACCGCCTCCGCGCTGCGGTACGCGCCGTACCCGCCCCCGGCGGCACTGCCCGCGGCCGTCGCCTTGCACCAACACCATCCCCACCAACACCCAAACCCGCAACTGCAGTACGCCGCCGCCGCAGCAGCTGCCGCAGCCGCCGTCAGTGTGAACCACCCCTTATATGAACACCTGACGGGTTGCAAGCGCATTTTTACCGCCGCCCCGCTTAGACCGCTCGCGGCTAGGCCATTCGCTTATTCGATGAGCGATTTGTTGCAAATTCAAGGGCTAGAGGTGCCAACGGTGTATACAAATGCTTTCCATTTATAAGTTGAAACATAGGCGAAGATATTGCTCATATTTTGTTAGTTTGGTTTAGGTTGAAGTTCATCAAGTTGGAAAAACGTTAGTGCCTCCGTAAGGACAGGAACCTTAATTCCGTGTTTTTGATCTCCATCTTCTTGTATCTAAAACCATGTATAACCGTATATATTCTGATTCATTGGACATTTGTCATATACCACTTATTATACATTATTTACAAAATTGAATGCTAAATATTGGCGAGTGTGCACTTTGTTGTTGAACCAATATTTTTGCGTTCCTTTAGTGCGTGTCCTATTTCATGGTTTCTTTCTGAGCCTGAGTCACCTGTCATTACTCGACAAGTGGCTGAAGCTTTATATTATTAGGGGCTTGTACAGCTGTGAAGGAGATATAAAAAACGGACCAAAAGTTCAGTTGATCATTGAAGACTTATTATATATATTATATTTTAAATATTTAGTGGATCTCCCTCTTGTTTTGGAAGATTTGCCACAGTCCCACTGAGCAGCCAACGCATACGACTAATATAGATAGTTTTTCAATTACTCTTTCATAGTTCCAAGATATTACAGCTGGTCAACAAAAAACAAATAGTGTAGATTGGAAGTGATATCCAGTTTGATAGGATCAAAAAGTTCTAAATATTCAAATTCAAAACATTCCAACCTCCTCTTCAATGATATCTTTATTAATGGTTAGTTGATAATCATCACTATATCTATAAAAAGTATTATCATTGGTTAACAAAACCATAAATATTATCTAACACTACATCCACGAATTCAAAGGCGACTGTTACTAGCGATACAAGATAACAGCAAGTGGTTGACAGTCAAAAACATGGAGTTATGCTGCTGATATATGTATACCTGGATGAAGGCAAAGAATGTTTTTCATATCTAATGAAAGGCCAGGCTCCCCTATTGATATGCCACCTTGCCGATTTACATAATGTCCGCCATATTTCTGATTAATTACACTTACTCTTTTTTAGGCTAGAACTAAAGTCATATTATTACCATCGTCAAAAATACCTACATTTAAAAAAATTACAACTCAATCATAAAATATGGACATAATAAGCTTAACCTATGTCCGTATTCACATGATCATTAAATAGAGCTCATCAACCTCTGTCGCTTGGAAGTCGGTTGATTATTACTCAATCTGTCATCGCTACGAAAATATCTACAGGAATTCAATCGAAAACGTTGCATTATAATTTTAGTTTATATATACCCTACGCGATTAGGTGTAAATATCTCGAAAATATGGAAACGTCCAAAAACAAAAGTTTTTATTTGTATATGATAAAGCAACTACCTAGAAGTATTTTATAGAAAAGATGAACAAAGTTGTTTGTAAATGCAGCTAGAGCCCACAGATGAAAGGGTTCGTTTTTTATGATTCAAGAAAATTCAATATCTCAAAAACGGTGACACTTTTATATAGGTAAGTTTTTGTTAAGCCTACCTTCTCCTTAAGTTTTTCATGGTACTTACAAAAAACAAAATACCTGCAAAATATCTGTACAAATGTAATCTCACTGTATTTGATGAATTTTTACAAATGTTGTTTTTTTGATTTTTCTTAAATCTGATATTCATTCATTTTTTGACCACACTGTACAATTTGTTTTCAAAATCCGGAATAGTCCCCAGCTATAAGAAACCCGGTACAAATTATATGCAAAGGCAAAAATACAATAAAAAAATGTTATAATTAATTGTTTTGTATTTTTACTCAAAATTTGAAATATCTCAAAAACGGTTTAACTTGTACCTAAGGGTGATTGATATTCATGTAATGTACTCACCACGTCCCGTAGAATCCAACAATTAATAATGTACAAGATATTCTCTTTACTTGCTATAAATTCGTATCTACATACGGAACAGTCACAAGTGTAATCGTTTTGAATATATCTTGCTCTCATCTGTTATACGGTTAACCCAAATTTTCATAACTACCTTATGCCTTTTTTAAGTATTCGACCGCATCAGTTATAAATGAAACACCCTATATAAGCCTCGACTATGTTGCTAGCAACTACTATTCAACCACACACGCTTTCACAACAGCTCATTCAACTTCGTCCCGTACTGATTACACAGAATCCTAATGTGATGTGTTCCATAATATTCTCGAGAAAATGGCATCTCTACATCCTGTCTACACAACGATTACACCCTTAATTTATTCATCCATGAGTAATTTATCACTGGAAACTATCGCAACCCTCAACCCTTATAAATAACTCTAGAATACGTAGAAGTGGGAAGGAGAGGGTAAACCGCCATCACTCATCATCACATCGGATACACAGTGTGTTGTGTTGAAACTTTAGGCACAAAGTCGAAATGACAGTGTTAACAGAAGCATCAACCTGTCGTATATTCGGATACCGACTCGGTTATGAGATTGAAGAAAGTGATTGGAATCTGTTAATCTACCAGAAATAGAGAAATTTAATCATAATTCATCTCAGTTTAACAGCGTACAGGGTGTTTCAAATTCGACCCTCACCATTAGGATCTCAAAAACGGTAAGAGAGGCAAATGAGGCAAATTATTTAGTTTATTGGCAAAACGGCACGGAAAAACCGACCTTTCGCAAAATCGTTTTGATTTTTTCCTGACTTTATTTGTAGCGATATTTTAGAATAAATTGCACATTATTACTGCCACTTTTTCTCCTCTACAAAATGACAAAATTAGAATTTCAATATGATATATTTAGCAGAAGAAAATTAATTTTTGTTAAATTTCGATTAAATTAGCCTTTTTTGAGCAAATCAGTCTTGCTTCAATACTGCCCCATTAATTTACACTTCAGCTATTCCCAAAAGGTGTGACTTAAACCTTAAGCTCATTCGACTGATCTGGAAATTTATATACTGATGTCTTTCGGGTCGCTTACGAGGGATGTCTTTTAAGTTTTGCATATAGAATCATAGTAGGCCGCGCGGATCGAACGTCAGTACTGAATCTTAACCTCACTCTTTCGTAAACTTAAATTCAAACTTTCACAACAATACGTGCAGTGTTCTCACTACAGTGAATTTTTAAGAATCACCAAGTCATTAGAAAAATGGAACTCAACCGAGAACATTTGCTCGCCATAATTAATTACAACCTTCAGAGACAATTATCGCAACAAGAATGCCTTGCTGAGTTACTGTCTGTTTTCTGCAACGAAGCGCGACATCAGTCGCTAAGTTCCCGTTGGTATGGAGAATGGAGACTTAAAACGTGGACGGGTGAGCCTTAGCGACGATGCCAGGGTGGGTGCACCAAAAACGGCAGTCACCCAGGAAAACGTCGATGCTGTGCGCAAACTCATCATTGAAGATAGACATGTGACATGTCGCCAGACTGAGGCGTCCCTAAAGATCTCAAAGACCTCAATTCAAAATATTTACATGAAGAATTAGGAGTAAGAAAATTAGGATACCCCACCTGTTGACTGAAGAGCAGAAAGCAGCCAGGGTTAATTGGTGTCAATAAAAGCTTGACCGTTACAATTCCGGAAACTCAAAAAATGTGTACAGCATTGTTAGTGGTGATGAATAGTGGAATTACTGTTATGAACCAGAAAATAAACGACAGTCGGCTGTTTGAGTGTTCCAAGGTGAAGAAAAGCCAACAAAAGTCATCCGTTCTCGAAGTGTTTCGAAAAAGATGGTCGCAACATTTGTGTCAAAAGCGGGTCATATTGCAACAATTTCTCTTAATGAGCAAAGAACTGTTACTGCGGATTGGCATACCACCATTTGTTTCCCAAAATTTATCACCGAGCTTCTTAAAATCAACGAAGAAACAAGCATCATCCTCCACCAAGACAATGCAAGCTCGCACACAACCCAAAAAAACAAGGCAGTATTTAACGGAAGAAAACGTGGAATTATTGGACCATCCTCCATATAGTCCTAACGATTTCTTTACTTTCCCGAAAATTAAAAACAGACTGCATGGACAAAGGTTCCAATCTCCAGAAAAAGCAGTTGACGCATTCAAAAATGCCGTTTTGGATCTGCCAGCAAACGACTGGAATAAGTGTTTCGAAAATTGGTTCGAGCGCATGCAGATGTGTATTAATCTTGGTGAAGAATACTTCGAAAAACAATAAGGTCATTTGAAACTATCTACCGTGTTGTTTTATCTCCATATGCAAAACTTAAAAGACATCCCTCGTTTTATAAATCTATTATCAGAATTACTATATTTTGAAAATGGCGTAACCAGTATTATTAATAGATATGTACTGAATTAAGAGTGTTTTTCTCAGAAATAGTCCATTTTATCGATTTTAAACATTTTTTCGCATTCAAGACACAGGATGGAACATTCTATGCAACATCACGTTAGGGTTAGCCTATTCTTGGCGATTTAATTGTTATCCATGGTCACAATCATGTAAGGCCCCAACTGAATACTAAGCTAAACTTCTTTGAATTATTCAAGGTTATTCAGAAATTAGTCGATAAAAATCGATTTCAAATATTCTCGTTTAGGGGCCTGATTCCCCTAGTGGAACCCCGAATAGTTGAATAACAAAGTTTTGTTCAGATGAGTTGGCTAATTTTGAATATTTGAAAATACACCC